ACAGGGGATACTTGCTAGTTAATGTGATAATAAATAATGACAATCACAAAAGTGCAGAGCTGGAAGGAACCCTATGCATCATCGAAAATTTCCTGGAAGCCTACAAGATGGTCATAACTTTTGGTGAAAGAAGTGGTTGCTTCAGATCTTCAAGAATGTAAGACATAGGGTGTAGTACCCCACAAAATTACACAAAATTAATGGAGAAATCTCTGATAGGTCCTGGAGAACCTGTGGAAGTAAAGGCACACTAGAACACATGTGAATCTCTTGCCTCAAGGTGGAAGCATACTGGTGGGAAATAATTAAATGAATAGAAAAATTGTTGAATCAAAAATAATTAAAAATGAAGCTTTATTATTATTTTTGGTATTTAAGGACGGAATTGAAAAATTATTCAATAAAGACCTAATTGCACATCTTATTGGTGCTGCAAGAATACAAATTTCACAAAACTGGAGAAATACTCAAGATCTTTCAGCACAAAAATTTGAGAACAGAATCTGCCAAATGGTCTTGATGGAAAAGCTGACCAATCAATTTAAAATATATAGAGGGGAAATAAAACAGGATAAATTTACTGAAAGAATACGTAAGCAATGTCATAGTATTGTACTACAATTCTAACTTGCATTGTCATACTATGGATGTTAATAAAATTTATTTAAAAAAGAGTGGTCCTAGAGTGGTCCTGAGGGACTAGATAGGCGGGATATAAATAAAATAAAATAAAATAAAATAAATAAATAAATGAAATGAAATAAAATAAAAGAATGTAAGACATAGGGACCAAAGGTCTGACTGGCAAATGTGACCATAACTATGGAACAGGAAATCTAGTCAGAGAGGAAGGTGAAATGGCAGAGCTTCAGAAGTATAGTAAACCATGGTTCCTGTAACCTCTAAAAGGTGAGGAAATGGGGTAAATATGTAGAGTATGAGTCACCTTCAGAGTCAATTCCTAGTGCTGCTCTGCTGGAAAGTAGTGCTGCTGCTGAGGTGGGGAACAAGATCGGTACCGACTATAATAGGGGTGAGTGTAAGGGTTCTATCCATCTACACAACATAGGCCCAAATGTAGCCAGGGAAGATATTTCCATCAAGACTAGATTAGTACAAGTCATCTGAAGTTGGAGGTTTTAGCTATGCATAGTGCTGAAGAGGATGATGAACATTCTTATGAGGATGTTTGAACACAAATCTCACCCCCCAAGATAGAATCAACACCAAAGACATAAACAGAGGATCAATGTGAGAATGGCATGCAACCCAGAGGAGTCTTCACCAACGTTGACACCAAGAGACAGAGAGGCATATGTACCAAAGGAACTAAGTGAACTAAGCCACGTTACTTTATCTTATTCACCTGATTATTTTATTTTTCCTGTGTGTTGTATTTAAATAAACCTTGTTCTTTTATTTGTTTAAAAATCCATCCCTGGTCTGTGTGACTTCTTATAGGGAATGGTTGGTGGCAGCTTAGTTAACGTGTGGCAGATCCCAGTAGGTCTGGGTTTGTCACATTGATTGGTGTCCAGCGTGTGGGATACGACTGGTCCAGTTGTCCAGCGGTCCAGCAAAGCCTTGGCAAGTGTGCCCAGAGCAAGGGGGGTCTAGTCAGGGACAGTCTGAGGCGCGTAGGTAATCTTCTAGGTGTACCTCAAGGGGAGGTGCGCTAGTAGAAGAACGTGCCAACTGGGGAGACTAGATTAGGGTGCTCTGAGGCAGCCTGGTTTTGGCGGGAAAAAAGCTGAGGCAAAACTGTGAAACAGCAGTGATCTAGCCTGCCTGCTGAGAGGCCCAGCAGAGGGGGAGTAGACTCTGGCTCGCAACTGTTGCAAGATTAGTGCTGAAGAACAGCAGTAATCTATAGCAAGCTGGTTCTGAAGAAAAAAAAAAGTGGTCGTTTTATTTTGAGGCTTGACTTTTTAAAGCAGCCTGTTCTGAGGGGAGATTATGCCCTTGACTCGAAGCCAAATGGCCGAAATGAGTGAAGTGAAAGACCCCCAGATTGACCAAGGTTCTGAGGATGAATTTGGCTCAGTGCAAGGGGACAGCACAGGAGAGCAGAACCCAGAACTCAGAAAAATACTCCTAGCCCAACAGCATGAACTGAGGGTGAGGGAAATGGAGGAAAG